ATTTGAGAAATGTCTTCGGGAATACTCCTACCCACTGCTGTCTCAATGTACCAAGTGTAGGGACCCAAAGTGAAAGGTGAAAGTTGGCATTGCCATATGAACTTGTCTCGTGGTGCTTGGCAGCAGAAGTAGGAGTGATGAAAGAGGAGAAAGATCTGTAATGTTTGAAGCCAGAAGCTAGTCTGTGTAAAATTCTGCCAACCAGATAGTAAAATCAGAAGCAGAGGTTTCAGTTTTCACCAATGCCTCCTTTAAAAAGGGAAGTTCTTTTCTGCTAGGAATGTGTTTGATATTACAGCACATAAAATTATACATGTACCATTGCTTTTCTCTTTTTTGGTGGGAATTGAACAAAATTGATTTTTTTTATCAGAGTTATTGTTTTTGTAGGGCACAAACTAGGTAAAATAAGCAATGAGAATGTCCGTGTTTAAAGTCATCCACACATGGCACCATTTTCAATATATAACCAGGGAGAGGATTAAAAATATGAATGCAACATCATCCAAAGTTATTCTCAAAATATGATGAGGATTCTTGGGGCCTCCTGAGATTGTTCTGACAGGCCAGTGAGGTAAAATTATTTTTATAATAATATAAAGACTTTATTTTCTTTTTTCATTCTCATCCTGTGAAGAGTATGTAATAGAATTTTGCATCAGCTACATATGTGATATGGTGACAGATGAAGATTGAATGCAGAAGCAGATAAGAGAATCCTAATATCTCTTATTAAGTCAGACATGAAAGAGAGTTCAAAGATAAAACCATTCTTCTCAGAGGGTGTGGAGAAAAGGGAGCCCTCTTACACTGTTGGTGGGAATGCAAACTAGTACAGCCACTGTGGAGAACAGTGTGGAGATTCCTTAAAAAACTGGAAATAGAACTGCCATATGACCCAGCAATCCCACTCCTGGACATACACACTGAGGAAACCAGATCTGAAAGAGACACGTGCACCCCAATGTTCATCACAGCACTGTTTATAATAGCCAGGACATGGAAGCAACCTAGATGCCCATCAGCAGACGAATGGATAAGGAAGCTGTGGTACATATACACCATGGAATATTACTCAGCCATTAAAAAGAATACATTTGAATCAGTTTTAATGAGGTGGATGAAACTGGAGCCTGTTATACAGAGTGAAATAAGTCAGAAAGAATAACACCAATCCAGTATATTAATGCATATATATGGAATTTAGAAAGATGGTAGCGATAACCCTATATGTGAGACAGCAAAAGAGCCACAGATGTAAAGAACAGACTTTTGGACTCTCTGGGAGAAGGCAATGGTGGGATGATTTGAGAGAATAGCATTGAAACATATATATTATCAAGTGTGAAACATATCGCCAGTCCAGGTTCAATGCATGAGACAGGGGGCTCAGGGCTGGTGCACTGGGAAGACCCAGAGGGATGGGATGGGGAGGGAGGTGGGAGGGGGGATCGGGATGGGGAACACATGTAAATCCATGACTGATTCATGTCAATGTATGGCAAAAACCACTTCAAAATTGTAAAGTAATCAGCCTCCAATTAAAATAAATAAAGAAAAAAAAGAAGCAGATAAAAGAATCCTAGTATCTCTTATTAAGTCAGACATGAAAGAGAGTTCAAAGATAAAACCATTCTTCTCACTAAATGTTGTTAATTAAATTGAGCATTCTCATAAAATTAAAAAGTTATTTTTAATTTAAAAAGGATATTATTTGTATTAACATGTAATTTAACATGTAACATGTTAATGATATTTTAAAATGAATTAATAAGTAAGCACTTAAAATTTTGCAGTTTTAATTTCTACCATTAAAAACATTTTCATGATCAAAGTCATGTTCCAATAGGTCCTTATTTAATTTTGTTGAAAGCTAAGAACAGGAAACTACCTGAATTTAAAAGGCCACTGTCATTCTCAGCACCAGTTCCAGTATTTGAAATTCTTTGTTTTGTGTCTCGGAGGATTTCTATAACAGAGCAATTTTCCACAGTGAGATCAGTTATAGATGAGACTTGGGTTTTCTTCTGCAATGTGGGAAAAGAGTGACAATGAAAGGAGAGGAAGAAAAGAACATGTTCTCAGGCAGATCTGTTTTAGTCAAGTCCACACGTGGGAGGTCAAAGTGGAAACTGAACCCTTAAGTCCATTTATTTACCTATAGCCTTGGGAAGTTTTCAGGTTTCCCCAGGATTAGCATGCCCAGAAGGACATCTGATCTTGATGGTTTAGCTGGCAATCATACACCTACACTAATAATTAAAGTACAGTGAGGAAGAATAGGGAGAAGATGTGGGGCTGAAAGGACAGGTAATTCTAATTGATTTGAAGCATACTGAATGTAAACAAAATTAATTTCTACATTAGTTTGGAGTTCACAGAGCACTTGTATGTACTTTAATCATCATATTAACGTATTTTAAAGATAGGAAAAGTGAGGCTCAGAGAGAATTTTTTTTTGACAGAGAATTACCTAGGAAATCTTTGATACACACTTTTAATTAGGAGCACATGACACTAATGATAAAATATTCACTTTTGGAAAGTTGAACCCTAGTTTGCTTTCATTTGGCTATGAAAACCGTAACAATTCCTAATGTGTTATTCAGCTCTGCAAATCTGAAGTGCTAATACATCTTTAGCCACTAGTAAAATTTTAACCACCTGGAAAACATAACATGGAATATATTTTGTGGTTGTACATTTAGGTTTTTTCCATACTGATGGGGCTGACTCAAATACAAGGAAAAATTTTGTTGAACCTATTCATATCATTCCTATGTGGGCGCGCTACTGTGGTTGATATTAATCATTACCACTCTATCCCACTCTGAATGAACTGCAGTAATCTGGGTTATAAATTTAAATCTGATTAAATTTTACCTTTTAGGTGTGTGGAGCAAAAGGTTAAAGAGTGGGTGCTTTAAAGCTTTTTATTTTATTAATTAAAAAATTGAAGTATAGTTAATTTACAATGTTGTATTAGTTTCATGTGTACAACAAAGTGATTTAGCTATTTATATATATCTATATATTTTTATCTATAGATGCATACATTCTTTTTCAGATTCTTTTCCATTATAAGTTATTACAAGCTTTTGAGTACAGTTCCTTGTGCTATACAGTAGGTCTTTGTTGTTTATCTATTTATACATAGTAGTGTGTGTATGTTAATCCAAAACTCCTAATTTATTCCCCCTCCGTTATCCCCTTCAGTAACCATAAATTTGTTTTTTATGTGAGTCTATTTCTGTCTAGTAAATAAGTTCATTTGTATCTTTTAAAAAATTAAATTTATTTTTTAATTGAAGGGTAATTGCTTTATGGAATTTTGTTGTTTTCTGTCAAACATCTGTATCATTTTAAGAAAGATTCCACATGTAAGGGATATCATATATTTGCCTTTCTGTCTGACTTCACTTAACATGATAATTTCTAGGTCTGTCCATGTTGTTGCACATGGCATTATTTCATTCTTTTTATGGCTGAGTAGTATTCTATTGTTTATATATACCACATCTCTTTTATCTGTTTATGGACACTTGAATTGCTTCCATGTCTAGGCTCTTGTAAATAGTGCTGCAGTGAATATTGGGTACATGCATCTTTTAGGATTATGGTCTTCTCCAGGTATATGCCTAGGAATAGGACTGCCAGATGCTATGGTAGTCCTAGTTTTAGTTTTTTAAGCAACCTCCATACTGTTCTCCTTAGTGGCTGTGCCAATTTACACTCCCACCAACAGTGTAGGAGGGTTCCCTTTTCTCCACATCCTTTCCAGCGCTTTATTATTTGTAGACTTTTTGATGATGGCAATTCTGACTGGTGTGAGGTGATATCTCATTGTAATTTTGATTTTCATTTCTCTAATGATTAACAATGTTGAGAATGTTTTCATGTGCTTTTTGACCATCTGTATGTCTTTGGAGAAATGTCTCCTTAGATCTTCTACCAGTTTTTTGAATGGGTAGCTTGTTTTTTTGATACTGAGCTCTATGAGCTGTTTGTGTATTTTGGAGATTAATCCCTTTTGGTTGCTTTGTTTGCAAATATTTTCTCTCTTTTTGTGCAATGTCTTTTCATTTTTTTATGGATTCTTTTGCTTTGTAAAACTTTTAATTTAATTAGGTTCCATTTATTTTTGTTTTTATTTTCATTACTCTAGGAGGTGGATAAAAGAAGATATGCTGCAATTTATGTCAAAGACTGTTCTGCCTATGTTTTCCTCTAAAAGTTTTATAGTATCTGGTTTTATTCTTAGGTCTTTAATTCATTTTGAGTTTATATTTGTATATGGTGTTAGAGAATGTTCTAATTTCATTCTTCTACATGTAGCTGTCCAGTTTTTCCAGTACCACTTGTTGAAGAGACGTTTCTTCATTGTATATTCCTGCCTCCTTTGTTGTAGATTATTTGGCCGTAAGTGTATGGGTTTATTTCTGGCCTTTCTATCCATTCTATTGATCTATGTATCTGTTTTTGTGCCAGTGTCATACTGTTTTTATTACTGTGGCTTTGTAGTATCATCTGAAGTCAGGGAGCATGATTCCTCCAGCTCTTCAGCAGATATATCAGTGTCATTCCTCGATATCAGACATAACAAATTAAACATTAAATGCCATAATCACTAGCTCTGTATTACAAGCAACCTGAGGACAGACAATATGACTTAACAATTCTTGGCTTCCACTGCGTATTTTAGATGCACATGTAATTGGCTTTGCTTTGCAATTAATTTGCTTATTGAAAATTAAGTTTGTGGCTCTTATGGGAGAGAGTGGGTCATAAGGTGGTTTTAAGAAGATTAGAACTTGTCCTTACACGGCTTGGTGTCCACTCCCATGACTGCCGCCTTTCCTTCTTCCAAAGGCAGTCTAGACCAAGAATATCATCTAAGTGTCCTGAGGTAATGCAGTTTCTGAAATGGCCTGACTTTCACTCCCACAAAGAAGAAAAAGAGTCAGTTTAAAAGTATATTTTTAATATACATATCTTCTGGGTCCAAGGTGGCATAATATTATATTTGAAAGACAAATTTATGCATTTCATTAGTAGTTTTTTCAGAAGTCAGTATTCTCAGGAAGTATATATTTTCTGAAATTTCAAGAAAAATTTTTAAATAAGCTAAGAATTAATTTCTTCTGGTACTGTCCAGTATGTCTTAATCTATTCAATAATATGATCAATGAAGAAGATTCTCATGTGTCACCACTTTTGAGGTGGTTCAGTTGAAAAAAAATTGAGACAGCTTACTGAATTCCTGTAAGAAAAAAAAAACTCTTTTTAAATGTAGGTAAAAGCATGTTACACTTAAATATTTTTACTTGAGATGAAAATTTCTTGGGGTGAGAGTATCAGTAACAAATCATTCTTTTGTTTCTTTGGATATTTGGAACATTTGGGTCTGGACATCCTCACAGATTAAATGATTATCTGTTTGTTAGTGCTAGGAGAGCTTATGTTTTACAACATTTCTTAAATTTCATCTGAGGGGAATGGCACGTGAGTTGATTTACCATGCTAAATCTAGTCTATTACTAAGAACAGTTTGCCACCTTATGTTAGGAAGGTCCTGAGTCTCATCCATGATGAGTGAGTGGGAAAGAGTATCTTGATTGATTAACTGTGTCCTGTGTATGTTTGGGGGGGGGGTATGGGGGATGGGAAAGGGAGCACACCATTTGGTTTCAAGTATTTTCAGCCCTGACCCAACATGGAAAGTGTGTTATGCCAGCACCTAAATGTTTTCTTTTTGGGTAGATTCAGTAGGAAGCCCAAGAATAAAGGAGTGGGTAGTCTATCCCTTCTCCAGTGTATCTTCTGACCTAGGAATCGAACCAGGGTCTCCTGCATTGCAAGTGGATTCTTTATCAACTGAGCTATCAGGGAAGCCCAAATAGGGATAGTAATCCTGGAAAAATACTCCCTTATTGGTGGAATCAAATGTGAGTGAGTAAAGCGGCTCCCTGATGTTATTAGGATCTGTATTTGTCAAGGCAAGGCAAAGAACCCTTCTCTCTCACTCCACAGATGACTTTCATGGCCCTGGGGGGTCTTCCTGGCTGGGAGAACCTACCTTTGGGTGATGCCGTGGGGGTTTCCTCCGTGGTTTGCCTGCCCCTCTGGATGCCAGCAGGTGTGGTTGCTGCAAAGTCATCGTCTGTGCCACTGGGGGTTGAGAAGGGGTCCTCTGGGGTTCCCTGGGTGGCAGGATTTGCTCCTGCTTGTCCTGCAGGAAGGATTCCATTCTGGGCATCTGGATTAGTCTGACTGGTGGGCAGGATGGCTCCAGCGAGCAAGGGATGGAAGATAAGGCCTGTTAAGATTTGAGAGGTCCCTTGCTGGAATGAGAGAAGGAAATAGAAAACAAAGTCAAAAGAACACATTTTAAGGCTGGTCAACTAGCCTTTTCTTCTTTGAGAGCAGCAAGTTTGAGTAGGATTTGCAGATGAACAGGGTAGAGACAGCAAAAACAGTAAAGATTGGGCATACCTTAGAGAAAATGGCCCCCTAGCCTGAGCGAAGCCTGATGCTGGTTTCATTACTCGGGATCCTTGCTATGCTTCATTTTTCTCAGAAGGGAACGCAAGAATCAAGTCAGTCACAGGAAAAGGAACGATGCAACATTTGTTCATACCAGTTTTATCTGGAAGTAGAACTAAGACAGAAACTCCATACAATTGCAGTGGGCTATATTTCTGTTATTGACCTAAATCACAGTCTCTTTTTTGCCCAGACTTTAAAAGAAGTAATTTAAGAGATTAAAAATTAATGGAAAAATGAAGTCAAGTAGATTAATTAATTCTTATCACATGATTTTTATGCTTTCTTTTGATATATTTTTTTCAAGGGCATTGGAATATTCATTCAGTCAAGAACATTTCTTTTGGCAATTCAGTCACTGGTGTATTCTTTGAGGTTACTCAATGGATCTCCTTTCTATTGGACTGTCAGTGATTTGCACACTGTTACTTTGCCAACAAAGGTCCATCTAATCAAGGCTATGGTTTTTCCAGTGGTCATGTATGGATGTGAGAGTTGGACTGTGAAGAAAGCTGAGAGCTGGAAAATTGATGCTTTTGAACTGTGGTGTTGGAGAAGACTCTTGAGAGTCCCTTGGACTGCAAGGAGATACAACCAGTCCATCCTAAAGGTGTTCATTGGAAGGACTGATGCTGAAGCTGAAACTCCAATACTTTGGCCACCTCATGCAAAGAGTTGACTCATTTGAAAAGACCCTGATGCTTGGAGGGATTGGGGGCAGGAGGAGAAGGGGATGACAGAGGATGAGATGGTTGGATGGCATCACCGACTCGATGGGCATGAGTTTGAGTAAACTCTGGGAGTTGGTGATGGACAGGGAGGCCTGGCGTGCTGCGATTCACGGGGACGCAAAGAGTCAGACATGACTGAGTGACTGAACTGACTGACTGACTGACTGACTGAATGTTGTTGGTACTTAGATTTGTTTCTCCCCTGGGAAAAAATTACCATGAAAAATTCTTCCTAAGACGAAATACCTGGAAATCAGCTGGTTTTGGAGAGAGTTTAGGCAGAAACCAGTTCTCTTGGACCTCCCGGTTCTGATAGCATTTTCATAGAAAAAAAGGTTGAGAACTTAGAGTTAAGATACAGGTCTGTTTCTTTGAGCATGGTTCTCAATTGTTAGTACATAAATACCACCTGGAAGGCAGAAATACTCATTTTTAACCAACACTCCAAATTGTCGTGGTTTGATGGTCCAAGACTGATGTTTGGAAAACACTGTCTTAGATTTATGAGGTACTGAAACCAGAATTAGGCTTATGCTGGATGAGAGACAGGAGTAGAGTACAGAAGTTTTCAAACTGGGGGTTGTGACATCCATGCATTTGAAATAAAGAAGATGGTACATCATTAAAAAATAAGGCAAAAATAATAGACTCTAAATTACCAGTGCACTCTCTATAATGAGGCTAAGTATTGTTTCATAAAATGTGTATATTTTAGCAACATGAAAAATATAACTCTTGCTGTGCATTTCACTAGAAAAACTTGAAAACCACTGGTATAGTGGATAGAAAAATGGTTTTTAATCTAGATCTACTGTTTTATTGACTTTGGTACCTATGTTGCTTAAGTTTTTCTAGCCTCTGTGTCTTTTTCCGTTAAATTGTGTTAAAAATCTCTAATTTGTAATCTGGTGAGTATTAAAATCAATATATGTAAAGAGAAAAATCCACCGAGGTGCTTGTTTTATAGGATCAGGTCCATAACTGGTAGAAATGGGTGTTCATATATCAGTGTTGGCAAAACAGCCCCATTATTTGATTTTATTTATGAACAATTAAGCAAATCTTTACCTTCCTTATAATATAAAAATTTAAAAACTATCTTCCCAGATATTTCCTCAACTTTTTATTTAGTGTCAAGTTTAGATACCATTAATTCAAATTATTTTTCTCTGAAAATGACTCTGGAGAAATGCGTAGAAGTGCCTAGGCATGGTACAATGAGTTTTTGGGTTCAGCCCTTTAGTTATTCATATGTATAGAGCAGATTTCATTTATCATCATAAGATGCTAGAATAAAAACATATTTTTCTATAAGCATTAAATGTTTAGGTAAAAAAAGAGTCTTTCCTGAGATAAAGATCAATATGTATGTGATTCTAAATCTACATGTATTTCAATAACTTATAACACTAGATTTTAATCAACTTTAAATAAAATTTAAAAATATGCATTGACTTTCTGGATAGACCTGAATCTGACAGCAATATATGGAAAGCAAGAGCTAAGTCAAATTAATGGAGAAGTAGCTGGAGAAGGATGATGGAATCCCTAGCTGGAGAAAAGACAACTTAATGAGAAGACCTATAAAAGTGTTCAGTGTATGATAGCATGTACCACATTTAGGGGCTGAGGTCAAAAGAGACAATATGAGGATAGAAAACAGCATTATGGTAGCAGTGAAAAGAACTTGAAATACTAGGAATTAATTTTTTTTTGTTTACCAATTCCTCTGAGCTTAGGATAGTACCCTAAAAGGAAAAGAATAACACGTATTATTAGATTTTAATATATTTGGGGCAATATATATATATATATATATATAATAATTGAAAAGCTTAAAATGGTTTTAAAGAGATACATGTTTTTTAATTTTAAGCAATAATTTAAACTGCCTTTGAGACTTTTATTACAAAACTCAAGTCAGGACATGGTATTGGACTGCTAACATTTTTTATCTGAGTGATGGGAGGTTTTATGCATTTCAAAAATTACCTATTTTCTATTGTTAGGTAATATATACACATTAGAGGAAACTTGAAAAATGCAGACAACCATAAAGAAAAAAAATATAATCCTATCTTGCAGAGTTGATGTATTTTCTTTCAGATGTTTTACAAACATTTCTTTTTTACATACTAGAAGTCACATCATTTACACAATTTGTGTCTAAAAGTCTTACCTTTTAATAGTACACAGCAATTCTTTAACCATATTGCCAACAAATTTTAATAAATGTACTTTTGAATGGTCACAAGTATTTGCTTTTATGCTGTACCGTTTACATAATAATTTTCCTTCTGTTTAAATTTAAGTTGCACCTAATATAGTTCTTTGGAAGCTTCCTAAATGTGCAATGGTAAAAAGTCTGCCTGCCAAAGGAGGAGACCCAAGAGACATGGATTCTTTCCCTGGGTCAGGGAGATCACCTGGAGTTAAGAAATGGCAACCCACTCCAGTATTCTTGCCTGGAAAATTCCATGGATAGAGGAGCCTGGCAGGCTACAATCCATGGGGTTGAGAAGAGTTGGAAACGACTGAGTGATGGAGCGCACACACAGTATTCTTCTTTACTATAAAAATATTTTGATGAATTTATTTGTAAATAAGCCTGTGCTATATTTCAGATTATTTCCTTGGAATGTGTTCCCAGATGTGGAATTAAGAGTTAGTGTGAGTTTTATATTTGATTCTGCTTTTAGAAGTAAAAACTCAAGAGGGAGGGGATGTATGTAAACTTATAGCTGATTCAGGCTGTTGTACAGCATAAACCAACATAGCATGTAAAGCAATTATCCTCCAGTTAAAAAAAGGAAGAAGTAAAACCTGCCATCTGATGCTCATATTTGATCTTGGCTCTTGGTAATTGTATCAGTGATCTCAAGAATTACTTTTCACAAAGGAAAAATAGAGAGAGAGGAAAGTTTATCATTTTTAGGGAAAAGACATACAGTTAATAAATAAATTTGAGATTAAAAAAATCCCCCACACCATCAATTTCTAGATCAGTTAATAATTAATTAATTTTTTTTTTGCTTGACAGTGTGGTTTAAAGGATTGACTGCTTCATCTGTGACATTTACTGTGTGATATAACTGAACAACTAAGTTAAGTGTCGCCAGTTACTTGTCTTCAAATTGGAAATAAAAACACTGACTATAGAAGATTATTTTGAAGCTTAGATGAGATAGTACATAATAAATAAAAAGTACTTGGGACAGTGCCTAACACATAATAAGTGCTCAGTAAATGTTCCTGTTATTATCCTATTTGTAGTGTCCATACAGTGCAAAGTAAATAGGAAGCTTGGCAACTATCTGGTGAACTGATACAGAATTAAATATTTCACATAAGATGATCTAAAATAAAATCATATTATAAAGTAATCTTACCTGGGCTCCAAAGTGTGCTACAATAACTGGTAACATCTGAAAAAAGAGTGAAAAATTTAGTAAAAATATACCAAAAGGTAAATTCTGGCAAATGGTGTAAATATTGAGACTTTCAAAATAAGTACACAATGTTTATTAAATAGATATTCCATTTAATGTATCATCTAAAATCATAGATATGGACTCATGAGATGGATGGCAATTGGAACTGATTCAGTTTGTGAAAAGAAGATTAGGCCCAGAGAGATTTAGAAAGCTGCTTAAGGAAGCACATTTATAAGGCAGAAGTTAGTAAATTGGATGAAAATAATTTTGTTCTCAAGGTATTAAAATTATTCCAAGGAATCATGATGATGAAATGCATGTTTCTTTTACATGGCATCTCAGAAGATACATGAAAACATGTAGTGGATATTTTAAAATAATCAAGATTTCTTGAAGCATATACATTTAGTCTCACAATGGTTGCCTAGATATTTTGCTATTAAAAGAGGCACAAGTAGGAAATTATGGATGATATTGTTTAACATCCCTGGTCCTAACAGAGTTCTTAGAGCTAAGTGAGGGACACTCTACTGGTCACTGATGACTATGTGAATAGAATGAATTTATAGCTGGAAAGATCTGGGTGAGGTGTTGGTATGCTCTAGCACGCTAAGAACTAACTTTAGGGTTTGTTAGAAAGAATTAGGGTTTTAAAGTTTATTTTTATTTCTATAGAAATCCAGTGTCATAAAAGTTATCAAAATGGGACTTTTAATACAACCCAACCTAAAAGAGTTGAAAGTCTTATAAATAGACCTTTATTATTTCTCAAGAAGTTTGTATAGTAATACCCATAATGCTCAAAGATAAAAAGTACACACATTTAGGAAAAAGCCTTATTCTCAGTCAGATCCTTGGCTACTGACCATAAGCAAATAGTCTTCAGGATGGCAATGAAAAAATGGATCAAAGGAAAGGGACAAAGGGTTTGGGAGAAAACAAAATGGAAAGTTCTTCTTTAAAGGCAAATTAGAAGGAACAAAAAGATACAAAGAGGAAACCACAGATGTCTAAGTAAAAACAAGAATGAAAGATAATTAACTAATGTTATACCGATATAACAGTAAGGAGAGAAGTTGTTAGTTTTTCATAGAGAATTTGTTTGAAATAATAGCTAAATGTATTGAATGATTACCATCTGATAGGTACTGTTCTAAGTGCTTTATGTAGATTTAGTCAATCCTTCTAACAGCTCTTGTGGTAAGGTTCTAATTAATTCCTATTTTAAATGATGAAGAAAGTGAGTCACAGAGGGTTAAGTAACCTAGCCACATAGGTAGTAAGTGGAGAGCCAGGATTTGGCCAGAAGTTGTGTGGTTCTCAAGTTTTTTCTTAGCCACACTGGACTTGCTTCGATAGTGAGAGCTGTGGACATGTGCCCAGGTTTCCGGCGGGGGATGTAAGGTACTCTGCATAGGGAGAGACAGGGTCAGAGCCACTGCGCCTGCCCAGGAGAAGGCATGTATGATGAGGAGGTGGGATAGCCTAGAGACATTGAAGAAGCCCCACAGAGAATGAGGATTGGTTTATATTATTGGATGATGGGGCCGTGCATGTCAAACGTCTCTACCGAATCTTTAATACCATCTATGGTGCCCACTACTGCCTTGGACTCCAGTGAATACACTCTTTGGGGAATATGAAGATGTACTAAGTCTGACTTTGAGGTTAGAACAAGGCAGCAATTGAAACTGAAACTGGGGGCAGTTGGCAGGTGGACTATACCAAGGTCTCGCAGTAAACAATTCTCTCTAGTCTTTTTCAGAGGATCACTCTTATTATTAAGATATAAATAACAGAAAACACTTTGAGCGAAGGCTCTAATATATCTGTAAGAAATAAGTATTGACTCATCTATGAATCTATACATCAGTATTAAAAAGGAAATGTAAAAGTTAGTTACATTACAGAATTTTACAAATATGAGTAAATGAAGCAGTATAGTCTTTTGTATTGTTATCTTGGACAAAAGAAGGTACAGGGAAAACTATTGGTTGAATACGATGTAGAATGTAAATTGAGCAGCTTAAAATAATTTTGTCAATTAAACTCAGCTTTGATTATAATTACTAATTAATGCAAGCTTGCTACTATAAGTTGGGTGTCTGTAGTGGTAGGAAGATAGGATAAGTCATGCTTCATTTTTGGGAATGTGTATTAAAAGTCTTACATTTTTTAATGTCTTTGGATTCATAAATTCTATTCCTGGTCTTAAGGAAAGAATCACTAATATGGTCAAAGACTTAGTTAAAGGATGTTCACTGTAGTATTATTTATGGAAGTAAAAATTTTGGAAAAAACACAAACTTTTGCAATATGGTGGAATACTAAGCAATCATTGAAAATAATATTATGTTATTCACCATATTATAAGTGAATATTCAAAATATAGGAAAGTCTTTTCAAAATGTATTATGTGAAAAAGTTAGATTATAGAACATTAGATATAGTAAGAACATATTTTCTTTAAAAACTATACTTATATGCATAGAAAAAAGGCTGAAAGTCATGCTCTAGAATGCTGACAGTGTTTAATTCTGACTGGTAGGCTTATGAGTGAATTTTAGTTTTTCCTTTTGCTTATCTTTTTTTCTAAATTCTCTATAATTAACATATAGCGTGTATGTAATAATCAAGAAAGCTTCTACAAAAACTCAGACCATTATGTGGGAATGATAGGGACTGTGGTTATGTGTTAGGGAGAATAAGTAAATGATAAACAATTAGTCATAAAAGATCACTGTATTTTTCTCCAGAGTCATTAAACTATTTAGAGAAGTTCCAAGAAGACAAGTTTGGGCTTTGCAGTTAAAATGCAAGCATTTCTAAAAGAGGTGGTGTCCTAAGTATGTCATTTATATCTTTGTGTGAGAAGGTTTTGGGGGGTTTTTCCTAAAAGCAAATAATTGTGGGAGGAGAGAAGGAATCAGAGGATTCTCGGGAACCTGAAAGGAGGCATGGAAAAAGGGCACAAGGACGAGGTTAGATTTGCTGGAAATAAGCTTTGTCCATCCCTTATCTTTTCTTTGGAATGATTCTGGTCACTCAGAAAGTCTTTCATAGAAACAGAGCCAGCTGGAGAAGAATCCTGACCCCTCTCAACTCCCAGCTTTATTCTTTACTGCTCAATCTTCCCTAGCTCCTCACGTTTCCTGTTACCTGTTACAAGTGTACTCTTGAGAGGCGATGGGGCAGCATGCTCAGTTTTCTGGGTGTGTTTTCATGGAGTTTCAGCAAGAACCAAATTGCCAAAGATGGTCATAAGTTTAATAGGAAATAGCAAATAGGAAATCCCTCTGCAAAGTGTCTGGGTAAAACTTTCAAGAACCTTGAAAATATTCTTTCCTCCCCTTTAGGCTTTCTCCTGCGGGAAAACACCAGTATTAAACTGAGTAGGGCTTTGAACTTACTTGTGGTTGCAGCCGCTGCTGTACATTCAGTCCCCCCAGGGCCAGTGGGAGGGTCGGTGTACCAGATGCCACCCCTGCAGCAGGATTTAGCTGTAGGGCAATGAGGAAGATTGTGTTGTGTCAATTTGAACATCCAGGATATGAAACTGTATTTACTAGATATGAAAGGGAGGATTTGCTTTGCAAATCTATAGTAGTGGACATTGCATTTGGAATTAGGAACAGAAATGAAGTTCAGAGACCTGTGTAGTCTGCTAGTACAGCCATGAAGTCCAGGACTAACTTTTCTGACACTCAGTTTTCCTTTGGCATTTAACCCATTCTCCTGAGGATTACTTAGATGATTTCATACTTGCCTTCCCCTTTTGGCTATGACAGCAATGGTTCCAGGAATTTTCCTGATAGCTTTCTTATGAAGAAAATGTGTTCCTTCATAGGTATCCCCATGAAAATTGTGAGGGTCCAACGTAGCTTGAATATGATCTAGTAGTACATTTAAATCTGACCACTGGGGAAAAAACCCACTTTGGGCAGGGAAGAAATTTATTAATTATTTTATCCCCCAGAGAGATTAAACTATAGAGACATTCTATGAGAAGAATGTAGATTTTCCTATCCCTTCTCATTTGCTCTTGTTGTTGGGGTGATAATAGCAGTCACAGTGTTTGGATGTCGCATAGGCTGTGAGGAAGATGTGAATAAGTGAAAGTGTTAGTTGCTCAGTTGTGTCTGACTCCTTGCGATCCCATGGACTGTGGCCTGCCAGGCTCCTCTCTCCATGGGATTCTCCAGGCAAGAATACTGCAGTGGGTAGCCATTCCCTTCTCCAGGGGATCTTCCTTAGGAATCAAACCTAGGTCTCCTGCATTGCAGGCAGATTCTGTCTGAGTCACCAGGAAAGCCCCGTGAGGAAGATATGCTGGAGGAATAAGAAGGGGAGCTCAGAGAGGAGGTGAGAACTAAAGAAGTAAAGACTTGAGAATTAGATTAATTCCTTTAGAGATAATCTTAAAGATAAGACAGTTTTTCAATGTTGCATTGAATAGTATTCAGCTCTCTGTGACTTTTCTCTGTCACCTCGCTTTCCGTTTATCTACAGTGAAATGTGTGTATGTGTACATCTGTGGATACCCACCACATATATACATATATATGTTAAACATGAGGTATTATTTTTATTTAACAATGGACATTAAAATGATATAAAAGGTACTTACCAGTTGCAAGTCTGACCCCAGTGTGAGCATATGTGTCAAAGGAATTAGACTTAAAGAAGAGAAGACCTGCAGGGCATTGAAATTAATATGTGAGACAAAAAGACAATGCTATCAGTGGTTTATATCCTCAAGTAACATATACTTCTATCACAGGTGGATTTACCATGAGGCTAAAGCTTCAGGGCCTCTCACTAGCATTGCCCCTTCCAAGGCCCTTGGAGGTACGCAAGCAATGTGTCAAGTTTAAGGTATTTATCAGCTTAAAAGTACATAATTTACTAATTTCTTATCTCACTGTGAATTCTTCACTTTAGTAACTAATTTTGCATACCTAATTTTGTATTCTTTTTAAAGGAAAGTCCTCTAAGCTTCAAGTTCCTTAAGGCGGAAGGTTGACTAGTGACTTGAGTATTGTGTAATGTCCATAGACCAAAATGAAAACTTTATTCTGGTGTTACAGTACTGTTTTCACAAAGTCTAGATGTAGGGAAGGAGAGGTCTTTTTGAACAGAGGGAGGATAGGAAGAAGGGGGAGGGGAGCTAGGAGACCTTTCAGTTTTCAAAAGTATTTAAATATGCTTCAGTGACAGATTTTACAGTAACACATCAGTTCATCGACAATAAAAGTTAAAACCACTAGGAGATTTGCAACTATTTTTATGGATTACCTCTTAATCCCTGTAGGTTCTGGCAAGTACCATGTTTGCTTAAGTCACAGTTCTTCAAAGGCATAGATGACCAAGCTTTTTCAATAGGTGTAGCTATTGCCTTTTAGAGTTGACTAGATTTGGTTGCTTAACCAAATTATTACTTAGACAAAAGGAATAAGAATGAATATGTGATGAAATAATAAGAGTGAAATAAGAAATATGAATGAAAAAAAAGTATGTTTCTTGTTTTTATTTCCCTCCAATAAGGCTTTTTTCTCTCTTGCTCAGTCATGAAACTTTGAGTGAACCTTGATTTAAAATCCACCAGCCTTAGCATGTTCGCTTTGCTTGTCTTCAGATGTTCAGCACTGTAGGACTCTTACCTGACTTGGCTGCTGTTGGTTTAGCGGTGTTTCCTGATCTGGAACGAGCTTGGTAGGAGGAAGCACCAGAGCAGGGTTGAGCTGCATCTGTGATAACAAATATTTGAAGAAGCAGCATCTACCATTTTTCATGTGTGTTCACAAGTCTTTTTGAGTTGGCCTTGAGTCTGAACTTAAAGAAAGCTAGCAAGATACCAAGTGAAGAGGCCTTATATACACACACTGGACCTGTAATGCCCAGCTCTCCCTCCCCCACATTGACTGGGAACAAGACAAAAAATTATTAAACTATTTGGTAGGATGAAGTTATCCAGTAGGGAGGATTCCTCCAGCTCAGGCTTGAGACACCAGACCTCAGAGCAAAGAAACTTAGGTCAGGTGGTCTGTAAAAACAAAGAAGACTATGGTTTAGAAAGAGAATGAACAAGGAGACTAAAAATTCTCTTCTCCTGGATGACCTGTTTTAAGACAGAAACAATATAACTTCCAGCTTTACCCATTCCTGACTGAAAGTCATGCCAAGGTTGAATCTTAAAGGAAAACTAAATTTAAACCTCTTATAGAATATTTCACCCCCACCTAGGGGTAGGAGCAAGGAAAAACATTTTTTAATGAATATTGTAGAGGTATAATTTGAAACTTAAAAATGGTTTGAGGTCTTGTATCCATTTATTTCCAGGAGGTAATAAGTTGACCCCAAATGCAAAAATGTCTGCCTTTAGCCCCCGTGTGTTTTGGAGCAGTTTTAACTCCCTGGAACATTTTGTGCATGACAGGAGATGCAACTGTAGAAAGGGAAAGTGCCAGGCCAGGAGGGTGCTGTGGGGATGGACAGAGGGTGAGTGAGGCACATGGTTTTCTGGTGGTAGTCATTTCTTTTCCTCCTCTGGGACATAAAAGATACAGTCCACACCTCAGCTCTGTGCACATTTGCTTTTTCCTAATGCTTGAAGATAAGTTGCCATGATTTCTACTGCCTTTTCATGAAGCTGTCAGCCTTGAGCCTGACAAGTTACTCTTGTAATAGAAATTCAGTCCCCTGCTTGGTCAGAGTATTTTCTTAGTGTATTAAGAATAACTGTATTTTATGGGTAAAAGTCTTTGTGAGTCCAGATGACTTAGTTGTATTATTCTAGTTTATTGATGAAACTAAGAAGCTCTGTGAGCTGCCCACGGTGATTTTATGAGTTGTAGAGCCTGTACTAGGAATTCCTGCAAGGACTTTTAGTCCTTGAAGAAATGAGTCCTTCTATTTGCTTCTGTTAGCCTTCCATCTGCATTCAGGTGGAATGCAGGCTGACTCTGGCGGGCCTCTGCTCCTGGCGGTGCCCCAAGGATAGTGTCCTGTGGCTCCCCCAGCCCTGCACTGATTCTTGGGTCACTTGGATATATCCTGGAGCTGACAATGCCTCTTGAATTCACTTTGGTCTTTTCCCTCAGTCATAAGAGAGGAGATTGGCACTATCTGCCCTTAGGGGTCCCTTTAAGCCTTAAGATTGTATAAGTACAAATTCTGCAAAGGTGTTTTCATCTCCTATGATTCATTGTCAGCACGGTAGTCAGATGGATCCTTCGAAAACTGCAGTCTGGTCTGTTCATGTCTTTGTCCAACCCCTGCCTTAACCTCTGCTGTCACTCAGAGTAAAAGTCAGGGGTACTACAGTGGCCCAGAAGGCCCTCAAACCCTGGGCCCCCAGCACCTCTCTCAACTCCCACTCTGCCTCATTCCCTCTCATTCACTCCATTACTGCTGTTTAGGCTCCTTGCTGTCTCTGGGACACTCGAGGCCCATTCTTACCTCAGAACCTCACCACTACCTGTTCCCTTTGCCTGGAACGCTCTTTTCCCAGACATTGGCTCACTCCCTCACCTGCCTGAGTTCACCTTCTATTTGAGGCTTACCCTGACCACTCTCCCAAACACTCAAGTGTCCCAGTTCCAAAGTACCCCCATATTCCCAAACTTTTGACCGACTGAATTGTTTCAATAGATCAAAAGGCTAGGCTACATTAAGTGTTCACATTTGCAGATCTATTCATTTCATATACCTTTATGATAATTCAACAAATTCATTTACAAGTAATTAAAAAAAACCTTGCCCATATGTCCTGAGTTTTTATTTGATAAATCCTACTATGATAGCTAATAGACATTTTAACGTTACTTCTCACACTTCCTACACCACTGATTCTTGCTGCTCTCCCAGTCTGCATGAACCTGTACACTACTCCTGGGTCCACCTTGAATGATAGCTATGCTTCAAAAAAGTTTTGTCTTGAGTTTTCAAAAACTATATGGTAATTTAAATTCACAAGAGATACCCAACTTAGAACAACCTTTTGGCAAATTTATTCAGTGAAGTGCAAAAACCCACATTAAAAATTTAACTTCCTAATTTACCTTGTTTAAAGCTTAAATTTTTGCAGGGGATTTCTTTAAAGAATGACACATGTGTGTTTGGAATGAAATAAGAAGGAGGTTGGTTTTTCATGTTTATTCCATCCCCTCCACCATGATCACCCTGTTCATCTCCTTCACAGAGCTAATCATGGTTACAATTTATAATTTATCATTAAAAATAGTCCTCATAAACACCATGAAGGATTATGTCTTTTTTTTTCCTCTCACCATCTTATCTTCAACAACTAGCAAATTGTTTGGTATATAGAGAGTTTTCAATAAATATTTGTTGATTGCATAGATGAGTAAGCAAGTGTTAAGTGAGCTTGAAGCCTAATTGAGAATGTTATTTTTGTTCTGCTAATTCATAGTAAATATCTTTAATTTTTTTTCTCATTGTCCACACTGAAGCATCTCAAACAAAGGGAAATTTACTTAGAGATCCAAACCACTCATATTATGTCTATAAAATATTGGAGGATAGCTGGAATACATATTTGAATACTAGGCTCTCTTTTTTTAAACCTGTTATATGTGAACTTATTTTGTGATGAAATGTTCTAAGTAAAAAATATTATCTGCCTTCTAATATCCTCATTTTATTGCACAATTTGGTAGACTTTTTAGAGTTTTTATAATTTAGATGTTTTGTGTTTCCAATTAGAAAATTCAGGAAATGTAGTTTACATCTTTAATCATGAGAATATAATTAGTTGGCAAGAAAATCTTAACTTCTTTTTGGAAGTAAAATGATTATCCACTTTGAGCAGACATAATCCACGGCATCCCTTTTTCTCTTAATTTCTGCCCTATTGCTCTGTCAAAAATAATCAAAATTCTACCATGATAAAGTGGATACAAAAAAAAAAGTGGATACAATATAAGTACGTTGGAATATACACTAATACTTCATTAGCTTATCATCTTTCAACTTGGAAAATAAAAACAGGAAACTAAGGGAATGGGTCACAAACAGAGAAGTTTTGGCAGAGAGGGAGAGAGAGGTCTTCCGTTAGAGTTGCAGTTAAGGCTGGGTGTACATAAAATAAACATGTTGTACTTACCGGTAATGACAGAGTTGATCCTAGAAGACAAAACAGTAGAATCGCAGCCTTCATGTTCAAATTGCTACCTGAAACAACAAAGCAATGTTATTCTTTCACTCTATTTTTTTTTCTTTTTTGAGACAAAGTGGTACGTGAAAAAAATGAGTGGTCTCTTTGAAACGTAGTCTGTTCTGTTACCTTTCTCTTCACTAGGCAAAATGTACAGGTAAGGTGATTTCTCTAGTCTGTATGCTGAAAATTTTTACCCTTAGGTGAGCTATGAGTGTGTAGGAGGAATTTAAATTTGACTCCAGGAGGCTGGCGACTGAGGGGCCAATCAGGACTTAGCTGTCTGTGAAGTCATTTGGTTTCTTTCATTTCCCAACACTTCATTAGGTGCGTTATTAGCTGCAGACATCATATTACCCAATGTCTACCATTTGAATAGAGGGTATTTCAGGAAGACATGCCTTGTATAATTAAAAGTGCAGACAATAAAAAATTACAATCTTTCTTCACCTCCATCTCCTTCCCAAATGACTTCCCAGAGTACCTGTTTTATCATGTGTACATGGACACATAAATCAAACATCAAAATATAGCTGCCTATGTTAAAAAATGAGAACTATTATGTATATTTCTCTGCAATTTACTTTGTTTTACTTTATAAATAATCGGCAACCTATTTGTCAGTAGGTATAGATTTATTTCATTTATTTAATGGCTGCATTATATTCCATTTCTTTTTGGTGGACAGTTAATCCATTTTCATTTTAGTTTGTAATTATAAAAGTGGCACAGTGAACATCCTTATAAATTTTTTTCACACAAGTGGGAGTATTTTTGTAAGTATTTTTCTTAGAAGTACTGTACTAAAGGATATGTATGTTTAAAATGTCAATAATGGGGGAAATGGCCAGATTGCCTCCAGAAATGTTGGATGGTATACTTTATTTTAAATAGGGGAAAGGCTACAGTAATCTATGCAAAATGTAGAGGTCCACTGAGTTTTCTTTCACAAAAAGAACAATGAAGTGCTCACCATAAGCTTTCAGGGCCATGGGCTTTACTGGGAGTTTCCTTTACCTTATGTATAAGAGGGAGGTATGCAAATTCTGAGTCCAAATCAAAGGTAAATGCTAGGATTTCACATGGAAGGCCATCTTAGAGTTGGCTAGTTTTAGGGTATAGAATGGGCTTCCCAGGTGGCACTCGTGGTAAAGTAGTAAAGCACATTGGTAAAGTGCTTGCCAATGCAGGAGACATAAGAGATGTGGGTTCGATCCCTGGGTTGGGAGGATCCCCTGGAGGAGGGTATGGCGACCCACTCCAATATTCTTGCCTGCAGAATCCCATGGACAGAGGAGCCTGGCAGGCCTCAGTCCATTGGGTCGCAGAGTTGGGCATGACTGAAGCGACTTAGCACACATGCTCACAGACTATAGAATGTCTGAGACAATGAGTTGTTCCCCGAAGCTTTTCTGTAACTATTCATTACACAGTCAGCTTTCATTACCATCAGGTGAGAATAGGGGACACACAAAGGTTAACCAGTATACCCTTGGAAAGTGCAATAATGTATGTGTGTGTGCTCACTTGTGCCTGAGACTCTTTGTGACCCCATGGACTGCAGCCCACCAGGTTTCTCTGTCCATGGAATTTTTCCAGCAAGAATACTGGAATGGGTTGTCATTTCTTACTCCAAGGGATCTTCCCAACCCAGGGATCGAACTTGCATTTCTTGGGTCTCCGGGCATTGGCAGGTGGGTTCTTTACCACTGCGCCACCTGAGAAGCAGTAAGTGTAATCCTGGGAGTATTCACAGGTATGGAAGGAAGCTTGGTTAATTTTGTTGGGGGCAGGAGGGCAGAGAGGGCTTACTAGAGGTGGTGGCCTCTGAGATGGTTTTGAAGAATAAAAAGAATTCATTCATTATGAATACAAGGAGAGCATTCAGGCAGATTACAGATGGAGGAGAGATGTTATTGCTCCTTATCACGGGAACAAAATGAGGTGAGGGCAGCGGTGAAAGACAAAGTTGGCGAGATACCTAATTTTAATCACCTGTAGTATTTTTGTTTGTCTGTTTCTCTTAATATTACTTCTTTTGGCTCTCCATCGACACTATCTCCATCTCAATCAGACAGAGCTCCTTCATTATTTCCTGATTGTGTGTTTCTCTTGAACTAGATGGAAAGTTCCTGAGCCTTGTCTTGTGATTCTTCAGCGTCTTCTATGTTAATGTCTTTGCAGAACACTGCGTGGGTCACTGCATGTTGATGGATAAATTGCAGAGTCACATACTGTAGGGCACTGGAGTGATGGAGTTCAGAGAAGAGATGGGGCTTCAAGTGGATTTGAAGGATAGATATGATTGATGGGACAGTGAAGAGCATGGTAAGTGGGGTGATATTAAGACGGGCAATGACCCATAAGGGCTGAAAGATGTACAAGGGAAGCAACTGTATGTTCTCACAGGCTTTCTTAGACACATTCATTCATTCTTTTATTCTGTCAGTTTGTTCTTCTAACCCATCAGCTAGCATGTATTCACTCTATGTTCTGCTCAAATTGTTTCAGTTTCTGGGAATAAAACAGTGACAGAAACCCCTGTCCTTAAGGAGCTCACCTTTGTGGGGCGACGCTGAGTATTTGATTCTCGCTGAGTGGGAGGGGGCTATCACACTGGGGAACCCACTCTTTCCTGAGCATTGTTTTCAGTGAATGTGTAGGGGGAGGGGCTTCCTTACTTTTTTTTTTTTTCTTTTTGGAAGAAGTAGAGTTGGATTTTATGCCACTGTTGTTCCTGGGTTTAGGTGAAGAGACTTGGGCTCTGTTACCAGCCTAGAGTTTGGTGCCAGCGGTTAGCTGATTCAGTTGAATCACTGTGTGACTGTCTGGACATCAGGTGATTCAGGGAACTGACAGCGCATCAAATGCCTGATGTAGACATGTCTCCAACCCCAAGCTATAATGGGACATGCCCAAGCTTGGAAACTGAGCAGTCCATAGGTTTTGGCCAAAATAAACATGGGAAATAAAGAAAGTGGAGTACTTTCTTAGACAAGGAATTTTAACTTTGAAAGCTGATAACTTGCAATAATATAATTATGGAGGTGGGAGTCAAGAAATACATAATATAAAAGGGGAAAATTCCTAAATCTTTTGAAAACTGAGAGACATCAGCAAAAACAGAGAGGTAAACTGAGCAGCCCATAGGTTTTGGCCAAAATAAATGTGGGAAATAAAGAAAGCAAAGTACTTTCTTAGACAAGGAATTTTAACTTTGAAAGGTGATAACTTGCAATAATATAATTATGGGGGTGGGAGTCAAGAAATAGGTACTATAAAAGGGAAAAATTCCTAAATCTTTTGAAAACTGAGAGACATCAGCAAAAACAGAGAGGTAATTTATTTTTCTTAAATGACTTAGGCTATCAGGATTCATCACAGTATTTTGTGAACTACAGGCAACACCTAGCCCTGTAGGTCTAGACATTTCTTGGTATCTCTTGTTGACTTTAGTTTAAGTTTCTCTGATTTATGGACACCTTCTCCTCAGGAAAGATGCACATGTGCCATGCACACGATGGGTATCCACCAACTTCAGGGGTGTCGTGGATCTCCTGAGAGCCCCACTGTGCGCAACCTTGCTTTTGTCCACTCAGTCGCTCAGTTGTGTCTGACTCTGTGACCCCGTGGACTGTAGCCCACCCAGCTCCCTTCTGTCCATGGGATTTCCTATATAAGAATACCGAGTGGGTTGCATTTCCTTCTCCAGGTGATCTTCCTGATCCAGGAATCAAACCTGCATCTCCTATATTGGCAGGATGGTGGGTTTCTTTACCACTGAACCACTTGGGAAGCATCCACTCTATTGTGGTAGAATTTCGATTATTTTTGGCAGAGCAACAGGGTGGAAACTAAGAGAAAAAGATATGCCTTAGATTATGTCTGTTCAAAGTAGATAATTCATTCACTTCCAAAAAGAATTTAAGATTTTCTTGCCAACTTTATCACCTGTGACCAATGGCCAAACCACTCTGCCAAGAATTCTGGACATATTTTTCCAATACCCAATCTGAAGAAACTTCATGAGATTAGTAATAAACCTATATAGTTTTTTTTCCTATCTAATAGAATTTTTTGTGTTTAGTCACTCACTCATGGATTGTACCCCACCAGGCTCCTCTGCCCATGGAATTTTCCAGGCAAGAATACTGGAGTGGGTTGCCTTTTCTTACTCCAGGGAATCTTCCCAACCCAGGGATCAAACTCACTTCTCTTGAATCTCCTGCAATGGCAGGCATATTCTATACCACTAATGCTACCTGGGAAGTAGAATTTTAGATACACTTAATTCACTGGCTGTCCTTCTGGCATTCATTCATCAAAGCACTCCATAGAAAAGTGGCTTTACAGAAGGTTTTTGAACATATATCCTAATTTCCTGTAGGTAGTACAGGTTTGTGTTTGAGGATGAGAGCTTGAAAATGAAAATGTTAGATCTGGATGTGGGTTTTGATAGAGGAGCAGGTGAGGAGATATTTCATTTTGATGAAACTGAGTTTTGTCCAGGTCTTTTGTTGATTTGTGGACTTGGATAAAATTTGGTGTGATCAGGTTTTTTTTTTTTTTTTTTTGGTATAGTCAGTTTTGAGGTGGCTTTCAGCAAGGTTAAGATTTTAAAGTGTTTCATGAATACCAGATTTTAGAAAATGCTTTGATAGCTCAGAGTTTGATTGACTATAGAGTTTTATATGAATTTTTGGAGAGCAAGTGCCTGACTGAATAGCTGTTTTAGGAAGTGCTTTGGTCAGGACAATTCTTTGCCTAACAAACCACTCTTAGATGACCGTATGGTAAGACAACACCTAATTAAATAGCCGTTTTGGGATGCATTTTAGATGGGTTGGTTCTTTGCTTATTAGTTATTCTTGAATAGTGTTTTTTTGTACATACAGGTCTTAGCTGATCACTGTTTTCCAACCAGCTGTGGAAAGGGAAATGCTTTTTTGATGTTTTTATAGTTTTTGGAGAGTGTGTTTAGAGGCAGCTGTGTTGGATGAGTATTGACTTGTTTTGGGTGAGTCTGTTTGTGGTAGCTCCTTGCTGAACAGCTTCTTTGGACAAAAGAATTCTCTGCAGATCAGCCTGTCTTGGGTGAATTTGTGTAGAACCAGGTGCTGGCTAAACAGCTGCCTTTTGATGAGCTTTGGATGAGGAAGCTCTTTTCTGATAAGTTGATTTCATATAAACTTGAATAAACATTTGTTTGGGGATGAGTTTGTGACTGATAAACTTT